AAAAAACTGCTTGAAAGAAATTTTGGCAAAATGTTAACATGATTGCCTCTATTATTGGTTTATGGGACATCTCTTTTCCTGCTTCTTCATTCTGCTATGGTATTTGAAAATGTTTTACACTGAGTATGTCAACATACCAGGAAAAGCTTAAGTAAACTAGAAAAATAACACAGGTTAAATAACAGAAACATTCTAAGAAAAGCTAAATTTTCTTGTATATTTATCAATTTTTAAATAAATAAGTTACTCCAATTGACTGGCAGAGATGTATAATGTTAACTAGATTCAACAAAGTGCTGGTTAAGCCAAATAAGCAAAGATCATTAGGTAAGGTCCTCTGACAAAATGTACTATTAGAAATGGGATCTGGACATAATCATTGCTCTGACATTTCTTTCATTAATAAGGTAAATAACTTCCTCTATTACTTTAGATTAGAGATAGTTAAAATTTCATCTTCAAATATATATGCAACTCTATTTATCAATAATAACTTCCTTTAAACCTCATATGAGGACCAGTTAAATTATGTTGTATTGAGAGATTTATGGGAACAAGGAAAAAATATATCAAATAAGCTCTTGGTTTTACAGTAACCTTACTCCAAAGCATCATTAAGATACTACTAACAGTGCAAAAGAATCTACCATGTCTGCTGAATCCTGTTCTCTTTTCATGCTATTTAATAGATACCTTCCCTGGATATGATTATCCATTTTCTGTAGTGACCACAACAATCTTTACATTGATGACCATATCTGAATTTCTATCCGATATTCTCCTTAATGCCAAACCTAAACAATTGCCTACAAGTTACCTCCAGTTGTGATATACCACAGACACATAAAACATGTCTACAACTAATTAAATCATCTTCCCACTTCAAACACTTATCTCTATTCTTATGTTCCCTACTCAGAGAACGGAGCCATCCATTTTCCATCCAGTTCATCCATTATCCACCTAATCACTTAAGCTGGAAACTTGGGTAATACCCTCAACTTGTTTCTGGCTCTCATTCCCCAAAAGCAATTAATTCTCCAAATTGTCACATCTGAATTCAATCCTCAATTCTCTCAAATCCATCTACTTCTTTTCATCATTATCCTACTTTCTCTCATGACCACTATTCCAGATAACTAGATTGCAATGACATCCAAACCAGTCTCCCTAATGCTGGCCTTGCTTATCTCAAATTCATTAACTACATAATAGCCTGAGTGATCTATCCCAAATATAACTCTGATCATGAAACTATTAAATAAGAAGTTACAACAGTAGCCCATTACTTATCATGGTTTATAAGGCATTGTCCATCGTAATCTTCTCAGCCTCATTTCCTGCCTGTTTCATATTCCAGTAACACTGAAATGATAAAACCTAAGAACCACATGTAACCAGGGTTCTTAGGTTCCAAAACATACACATCAAAACATTCATACTGTTCATACCTGAAGTTTCTACTTTTATCATGGGCTGCTTTAGAAACAAGGAAAAACTTAAAACATTTACTAAACATACTGACTTAAGATGCACCTCAAGGTTTGTGAAAAAAAAGAAAAACAAACTCACTGATTTATCAATGTTCATCGGATCAACATCAGCCAAGCTTGCACCTACTTTCACCCGTTCTCGGAGAATACCACTAGCTAAGTCTTCTGTTCTTAAGTTCATAGGCAAACATCTGAAATACATAAAAAATGCAAGTAAAAGAGCATTAAAACTTTCACATTTTTAAAGTCAAAATAAGTTTAAATCTTAGACACATTTTAATCTTTTTCTTTTTCTCATAACCCAGAAAATGACATCAAGGATTTAATGTTTTTAAACTACTTTTCTTAAATTCCTTTCAACTGACCAAAAATAAAGTTATTCACTAAATAAAACAAACAAGATCATTAATGTGTTTGTCCAAAGAGCCCAATCCATTCCAATTTAGGAAATCTTATACCTGATATCCTATATTATACAACTATAAAATAAAAATAGATCTACAGATACTATAATAATGGCATTACAATAAAATCAAGCTTCATTATAATATTTAAATTTAATTTCATTACATGGATATATCTATGCAGTTTATATGGCTGAAAAAATTTTCTCTCCCTTTTGATCAAAGGAAACCAATTTTAGATCACATTTTGAGAATTAAGCTTTATCTTTTTTTTTTTTTTTTTTTT